AACTTCATCAACGTGGCGAGCCTTGCACGTGAGAGGCACAGTGGAGGTGGAGTTCAAAGAAGAATGAGAAATTTAATGGTTTCAATCTGCCCTTGTTTTTTCTTTTTGTTTTTCTTTTTATTTTTATTTTTGCATGTTATCAATGTGCCCGTTTTTTGCTTTTATTCTTTGTTCCGCAAAGTGCGCTCTTTTAGTTTGTAGTGATGTGACAATATATTCTGTGCATGGCTTCTGATGTCCTGATGCAGAACTCTTGGAACGCCGAACGAGGAGACATGGCCGGGTGTGACATCACTGCCAGATTTTAAGACAGCATTCCCGAAATGGCCAAAGAAGGTAGGTGCCTCCGTTTTGTTCAACTTACTTTACTTCCCATGCCCAACCCACAAAAACCTTCCAGTCATCGACGTTCTCCATGTACTTGCTTCTTATTGTCTTCGGTATGCTTGAACAGCAAACATCGCGTGTTTGTGGACTTCGTAAATCTTGGTGTGATTGAAACTTGAGTGAAAGATCAACCTCAGGAGGACCCCCAGGACACACACATGGGATCCGAGTTCTCCAGATTCGCTTTCCAGATGGATATGCTTATCCGAAAGCTTGAAACCCTAAAACCCATTTAGTCTTCCGCGTCAGTAATGCTCATCGAACCGCGCTTAAGCTGCTGCTCAAGTAAGGTAAACACCCCAGAAATCAATCTCCTCACGCCATTCAACTGACCTGTTTGAGTCATAGGCAGTTGTCCCGTAACCCCATTTTCCCCCTCACAAAGGCTATAAAGGCTGTACCGTCAGCCTCAATCGTGAGAGGCCTTCTGGTACACTTGCCGCACTTGCCGCACTTGCTGCAGTGGTGTGGATCAAACTGGTTGGCGATGAAAGTTTGTGGTCTGCATTCCGGATTAAGACACTGCTCCTAAGGACGAGTAACCTTTCTGGTATTGTCTATTTGTAGAACTGCTAGATAGGAATCGCGTGCAACTTTTTTTCTTCTTGTGCTTGATCTTTTTTTTGGCTTTGTGTAGGTCTTCCTTCTTCTTTCTCTCTTTTGATAAGCTCGTCCGCGAAGCCTTCACACATGATGCAGAGTCGACTCCTTGTAATCTGCAAGAGTGTGTCCACACTCAAGCTGCTTCCCAACAAAATTCAACCTTCACTGATTGGGAGGGATATCCTCCTTAGCTTGAATCTTTGTCTTCACGTCGTTGATGATATTGGACGAGTCTACCTCATCAGTAATAAGCCTACTTTTAAGTGTTTTCAAGAAGATCTGTGTGCCGCCTTGCTCCTCTTCAGACCTCGATACTCCTCTCGTCACTCGCAGATTGTCTCGCCTGCCCTCTCAGGACTTTTCCTTCAGTGTGGGCGGGCACTCTGCAGGACCTTGGCGATCCGTGTAAACGCGACCTGGGAAATGACCAGTTTTCCTTTTCTCTTTCCTTTTCTCTAAATTATATTATCTGTTGGAACCGCCGGTCGCTCGAATGACAAGCTTGCAAGCTTCCCAGTTGCTCTTGAAGACTTATGGCCAGTTATGACCGACCATAATTCGACACATTCCATTATCAGGGAAAGTGGTAACATGAGGCCAGGTCATTTGAGTCTGGGAATGCCATTTGGGGTGGCTACGCCCTTTTCCTTCTACGGAAGGCGTAAGTGACGTGTTTCAGTGCCTACCTTTGATGAGTCCATTGTCGTGCATCTAGGAGTCGCTGCTTGAGGAGAAACTTGAGAGAAGAGTGACCGTGTGCTCGGGCTTCTTTGTAAGCCCGAGTTCAATATGAACATCTGAGTTCATCGATGCTTCTGTGCTCTGCATTGGCCATGTCATCTGGACAGGAGGGGGTTTAGCGCCGAACGGTAAGACAACTCAATTTCAGAGACTGGGCTACTCTTGGCTTGTTGCAGGGTTATTCGTTCTTGTTTTTCTTTTCTTTTGTTTCCCTGAAAACCATTTTTATTTTTATTATATTATAATAGTGAGAAACCATGCCAGTGTCCCTGACAAAAGGTTAGACCGCACAGCGCTTCCCTCAGTCCATCATGGCTGAGGAAACCTTGAGACAGTTGCATGGGACCCCTGTTAACAGTTTTAAGAGAGAAAAAAGACCTGGTGCTAAAGCTGGACGCTGGGTCCAGCGTCCCCTTTGCACAATTCACCCCCCCCCCCTGCCCCCCCCCCCCCCTTGGCCCCCCCTCTCTTCCTCTTCGTGCTGTGTAGACGTTCCTAAGCTCCTATACTCCTCTCTACACAAGCTCCTGTAGTTATGATTCCAACCTGTTCTTTCAAGAGCTGTGTTTGAAGGCTATGTGGGGCCTGGGGAACTGGGCGCAGCCCAGTATTCTCATCCTTTTTCTCTCTGTAGATCCGGATTTCAGTTTGGTGTAGGGCCGTTTTCTCTGGTGTGTGTCGATTCCAACGCGTCACTCTGATGTAGTCTGGCGCCGTGCCATGGATTGTCTGGGTGTTCGTCCCTCCCTGTATATTAGACCGGATCAGATCAACTGGGATGAGATGTTGCCCAAGGTAGCCAGTGCGTATAACAATAGTGTGAATCCTTTGAGCCTGAGCTTGCTTGGAAGGATTCATTTCTTGTGGCTGGATGGGTATGATGCGGGCTGTTTATCTCAGACAGCAGACGCCAGTGTGGGAGGTACATGTGATGTACTGGGATTGGAGATGAGCAACCATCATGTTCTTAGCTGGCAGTAGCCGCAGTACTCAACATGCCAATAGGAGTGTAAATCATCAATGAGAAGATGATGCTGGCACGCACAAGTCATTGGACATGTAAATGGCGACTGACCGCATCTTCACATGAAAGGTAGCAAGATACGTGCACAACTATTTGCAGTGGCATATGTCGCATGCCACCTTCAATCTGAAGATGCACTCACCATTTATCAAGTCTTGCTGAAAATTTTGAAGTAGTTGTCGCACTCTTGAGCTTTTAAGAAACCTATTTCTGGCTTCCTAAATACTTCCTTGCGTTGACAAGTGCATGCCTCTAAACACGTGCACTAGAAGTATGCAGGTTTTTTCACTTCAAAGCATCCGGGCTTTTCGCTTCAAAGCATGCGGGCACTAGAAGTATGCAGGTTTTTCACTTCAAAGCATCCGGGCTTTTCACTTCAAAGCATGCAGGCACTAGAAGTATGCAGGTTTTTCACTTCAAAGCATCCGGGCTTTTCACTTCAAAGCATGTGGGCACTAGAAGTATGCGGGTTTTTCACTTCAAAGCATCTGGGCTTTTCACTTCAAAGCATGCGGGTTTTTCACTTCAAAGCGGCATTCGTCCATCAAGGTTGCCTATCCGCTTGTACAGAAAGTTTCCTATTTCCTGTAGTTCCTTTTTTCAAGTCCCGTGGAACATTTCCAACAATCTGTGCCACACTTTTTAAGCAAACTGGGAGTGCTTTCCCAACAAACTGAGGGGAGTGCTTTTCCATGACAAATGCCAGAGTACCTGGCAAACAAGTTGCGAAGCACGTAACCAAGAAGTTGCTTAGTGCTCACTGCGTAGTACTTGCTTTTGGAAAGTTTCTCAGGTGCTTAGCACGTGTCCAAGATGTTTAGTGCTTGTTGTTCCGGTGCCTAGCCTAGCGCTTAGTACTCGTTTATGGCAAGTACTTGTCCAAGAAGTCGTCTAGTGCTTAGGCAAGTGCTCAGACCTCTCCAAGACACTGCCTAGTGCTTAGGCAAGTTGCTTAGGTGATTTGTACTTGTCCAAGAAGTTGAGTGCTAAGAACTTGCCCAGAAAATTGCTTAGGTGCTTTGTACTTGTCCAAGGAAGTTTAGTGCTAAGAATTTGCCCAGCAAATTGCTTAGGTGCTTTGTACTTGTCCAACAAGTTTAGTGCTAAGAACTTGCCCAGCAAATTATCACTTTGCCCTGCAGTTGATTAGTGCTTGAGCAAGTTGCTGACGTGTTCATTTGTTTGACTGTTTGGCATTTGCTGTGCGAGTTCTTTGGCACTGTTTGACAAGCTTCGGCCAGGGAAGAGACTGTGGACTTTTGGGGCTGTCTAAGGGGGTGCAAAGCTGGGTGGCAGGGCTGGGCATGCGGCGGGATTTTCAGGGTCCAGATGGTCCATATGGACCAGCTGGACCCCAGGTGCTGGTAGTGGACAGACATGGATAGACCTGTTCAGAACTTGTTTCCAGACTTTGAGTTAGACCTGCCTGGACGGTCTGGCAGGACCAACCTGCAGCCGAAAAATCCGACTGAATCCACTATCTAGAAGGGGAGTAAATGTCGCCCCTAATGTTATTGTGATTCACACGGTTCAATTATGACCTGACTCATGATCTGGTCACTGACGATTACATTGGTGTACCTTGTAGCCACATGGTCAGCCACGTATCATTTGCACCACAGTACTCTCTCTCTCTCTCTCTCTCTCTCTCTCTCTCTCTCTCTCTCTCTCTCTCTCTCTCTCTCTCTCTCTCTCTCTCTC